TTACAAGATGTCCAGTTCAATTAATATTCAGTATCGCCAATCAACATAACCAGATTTAATTAATATGTATATATATAATTCTGCTACGAAATGAATATCTCAATACTACTAGTACCTTTTATATTATTTACGGCTCGAAATAATAAACGTTCTTCAAAAGTTTGTTACATTAAAAAATTTTCTTTAGAAACATGAGTAGAAAAAAGAGAAAACATATATTATAGTTAATATATCTATTATTGGGCTAATATATGTATAGATATTGCAACTACAATATATACATAGATATTACTAACCCTTATCTACTATTAACTTGACAGGTAGACGCGCTATCTTTAGTGTTTTCTATCAGGTAGACTTTTTTTTGCCATTTCCGATACTTAAAAAAAATACCCACATACTTAGGTATGTAGAACCAAAGTAACTGATATTTCCCTAAGGATCAGCAAGCTGAGGTAGCAATGAGCTATCCATATAGCACAAACAACGAATAAAGATAAGTTTTAGACTAGCGAAATGTAGAACAACCAACAGGTTCAATTCAAGAAATGTTTCAGGAGCAGAAACCTACTTACAGAATTTTATTCGATGTTGCACAACTCCTCTAGGTATTTGTACATTGGCAAAATATCACAATATAAAGTAATCATACTATATAAATAAACAATAATAATAAATGCGAAAGTTTATGGAGATATTTGATGAATGTTTGTTATTCAAAAACTACTGAACGTATTTGAATAAAATTTGGTATATGGCGAATAGATTATATCCTAATTTATTACATAGGAGACTTAATTAACTGATTGACGCAGGTGAACCAGTGAAATATAGCTAGTAGAGTCATTGACTAAAATCTAATATTTCTAGAATTTATTGACCTAGAACGCCATCTTTTATTTATTATAAAAAATAAATAACAAAATTTACTTCTAATACTGCCATCTATGAAACTCTTTAAGAACTATATCATATTTCCAATTGTTTATAAATTACAACTAATGAGCATAGATGTCACTGTATAAATAATATAATGTATTTAAAAAATATATTAATAAATAATTAATAATAATCAATAAATACACGCTTGCAGGACTTAATGAAAAAAATATATAAAATAAAAAATAATTTAAGAGTCTTACCAAAATTTAATACTTATTTGAAAATAAATCTCTCAGTGTCTCTAAATGGGTACATTTTAAATATTTTTTTAATTCGTCATGATGAAAATGTTTTATTAAATATAATTTTTTTATGTAATATATAATGGTAAAAAAATTAACAGCCTACTAGACGGAAAACGGTAATTGCTATATTGTACATAAACATCAGAATATCTCGTGACACCCGTAATACGGCATGCCTTCGGATCCTATAAATGACATATTATCATATAAATTAAACACAAATAGGAAGCATTTACCAGAGGAAATCTATATACAAAGGCTAACGCGTGGGTAGGCCTGTAACAGCTGTTTCGGCTGCTGCCAAGCAGCTTACAAACATTATTCTAGCTCCTTACGTCTCCTCAGAAATATTTTCATTATTTATATTTTCATACACTTGTCTATACAAGTACGTGAAAATTTTTACTTAAATCGATGTTATATGATCGAGTTGTGTGACATAATTGGCTGAATAGTTTCTGATAAAATTTATCGTATAAATATTAAAAGTACTGTTCAATTTAAGTAGGTAAACAGTAACAGTAACAGTAACAGTTAACTGTCCACTGCTGGACATAAGCCTCACCCATAGGCACACCTTGGGGGTTTTACCAGTAGCTGCCACACTTGGCAGGTGAGTTGATAAATGCTGTTTGGCTTTGGTGATGTTTTAAGAGAGACGCTGTTGCCCAACCCTCGACCATTAAGTTCCTTATTCGCTACATTCAATTCAACCCCTACGGAAAAGGAAAGGGTGGCCTATTCTATGCCGGGATCACACGACCGAAGAACTTTTAATTTTTAAAAAGATATGTAGGTACTATTAATGTAATCGCGTTTACCCGTGACTTTATACGTAAGATCAAAATACCTACTTCATCGACCGGGTTAAAAAATAGGCCAAATTTCATTACAATTTGTTGGATAAATTTAATAACGACCTAATTGAAATATAAATGTATTGTATTTATTTTATTTTATTTTTTTTATACGACTTAGAATGGCAAACAAGCTGACGGCCCACCTAATGCAAAGTGGTAACCGTCGCCTATAGACATGAGCAGTACCATGGACATAACAAAGTATACTGTTTCGCCCATGATACCCCCCATGCGTTGCCATTCCTGAGGACTCAGGTGTTCTTCCTCTGTACCCAGTAAATTCACGCCAATTTTAAAATGTAAGTAACAGCTAGGTATTACTTAGGATGGTTAGAAGCAAAAAATGTCAATTTTGATTATACTTTTTAACCTTTATTATTGTTGGCATGTTTAATAGTTAATAATAAAGAATACACAATTACTTTATGGTCAAATTATTTTGAACGCGGTTAGTTAAGCTAATTTAGTGTATTAAATAAAACAAACAAACTCACTTCTACATTTATAATCATAATAAAAACTAGTAACGATTCCTATGGCGTTTCCATAAAAGTAAAATTGCAAAGAAAACCCCATAGCAGACAGACGCAAGTGATGCCTTAAATTTAATGGTTCCGTAACCACTTGACTCTGTACTTCGCGAATATTCTCAAAATGTAATTTAAGCGGGAAAGTTTCAAACTCATGCAAAATTATGAAACGAACCGGGATTTATTACTCAAATAAGACGGCGTCTTGTGTAACGTCTAATAAATCCTCGGTTACATTATCATTGTAACAAATACGGGGAAATTACATTGTGCGCTCATCACAGACACTTTGCTGTGACTTCGTCGCGTTGTATTTCAACCAACTTTTGAGGGAATATTCCCATCAATTCTGAAACCATTATGATGATAAAGTGTAGATACTCCCGCGTTTTGTATATCCTAATTGTATTATGAATGTATAATATATTAATATAATAAATGTGAAAGTTTGCAACGATGAACGGACGAATGGATGGATGGATGTTTGTTACTCTTTCACGCAAATACTACTGAACTAATTTAATTAAAATTTGGTACACTGGTGGGTTATATCCTAACTTAGTACATAGGATACATTATGTACTGATTCACGTGGGTGGAGCAGTGGGATATAGCTAGTTTATAATATTTGTGAGGATGTTGCTAGCAGTTTACACAGCCGACCTTTTATATATACATATTTGTATTTTTATATTATTCTTTTTCATATTCTTTTTGATATATATATTTTTGACACCACTTCAAATTACAGATTTCGAAATTAAAATATACAGTTCAAATGGCATGCTATTTTATTATTTTTTAAAAGCAAAGGACATACAATGATTTCGTTTTATAATGTATGTATGTATAATTCAGCTAATCTATACTTATAATAAATCTTTAGAGAGATCAATTCTGTGACATGAAATATATTCCCAAAATAACTATCAGGGGTGATTAGTAATCGATACTGATGCTAAAAATGCAATTAGTAAAATTTATGTCTGTCTGTCTGTATGTTCGTTATAGAAACAAAAACTATTCGACGGATTTTAACGAAACTTAGTACAATTATTCTTCATACTCTTAGGCAGGTTATAATATACTTAACATCACGCTACGATTAATAGGAGCAGAGCACTGAAGGGAAATGTTGGGAAAACGGGAGAAATTACTCCATTTTTAAGCTTCCAGCGCGTGTGCCGGGACGGGCCGCTAGTACTAAAATAAAATAATAGGTAGGCGGTTTTTTTTAAATGTTCCACTATTGAGCGAAGGCATTCCTTTTATCTTGCCTACATTTCTATCATGACCATAGATAAAAATTTTACCTTTGCTAAGGCATCAAAATCATTTATGTATTATAATTACAAAAGAAAATATCATTTTGTAAATTATTGTATTGTAAAATCTTTATTGCACATAATTCATACTAAATACATAAAAAAATTAATATATACTTTTTATACAACAACAAACAGTCAAAAACTGTTATTTTAAAGAATCTAAACATAAATATTGTACTGTAACCCAATTAACAGTTTTCTATGTGAATTCCCAAATTGGGCCCGGCGATGTAAATTGCCAATATGTAATATTGTTGCAAGAAACTTGTTGCGAATTTGACTCTTTTTTAAACAACGTCAAAGTCTAAATTGGCCTGTTTTGTGTGTGTTTCGCAATTTCTTCCCCAATTCGGAATCGAATTCACCCAATTATTTTTGTAAAGAACAGGGTTTAGTGCCGTATTGATTGTGTATTAATTTTGTCCTGATTGAGGTTGCTATTTACAGGCTATATCTAAACAATAGCAGCCCGCCCTGGCTTAGTACGGAGTTTTTTTTTTATGAAATATAACTTATATTACTTATTGATAACGCAGCTTTCTATAGTTGAGAGCATTTATAAAATAGTTTAATAAGTTTTTAAATTTCTTCATTAAAAATAAACATACAAAAAATGTAATCTTTTCTCTTTATATTATTATTTCAAATAAATTTTCAATTTCCTTTTTGTGCTTTTATGAGACGAAATTACGAGATTGTTTTTTTTTATTTTCCTTTTTTAAAGGCATTTAAAGGATTATTAATGATCTGAAACTTCTAGCCTATAGGCTAAAACATGTCAGTACAAAGCAATCGTAAAAACATTAACTCAGTTTTTTTGTGTATTTAAATTATAAAATTAGATCACTGGCAACTACATCCAATTAAAACATATAAAATTTAATTCTATGTAGCTACCAATGATTCGTCAGAATTAGTACGTATTAAACTTTTCAGAATCTATTTACGAATCACTTAAGTAATCCTTTTAGACAACGGCCGCCATTCCATCACAATACGAGTGGGTAAGTGAAATAAAATGCCGAAGTTCAACGGAAAACATGTAGCTGCGTAGTAGGGCAGGGCGCATGCGCGACCCCATCGATCCTGCCATTCTCTCGCCGGGGCTCATTTGCCCCGCTGATAAGAAATTGGTGAGTATATCACAAAATTTACTCGTGTCAACAGTCGGTTTACCTGCATATAAATTATATAAATTGGCTAATAAAGTTACTAAAAAACAAGTGCATGTACCTAGCGGTGGCCCTGATTATTATAATCGCAAGCTTGGTTCGATTACACGTAAGTCAATATTTTCATATAAATAGGTGTCTATTTCTAATTTTTGTTATTTTTAAATCAATATTTATTTGTATTTAATGTGTACATTATTAAATTTTATTTTTTCTAATTGGATTCAAATAAATATTTGAATTCCTAATCATTATTAAATAAATAAGTACTTGAGCCGAAAATTCATTGTAATATTTTTACACATATGCTTACTTACATTGCCACGTGTTCAAAATAACATAACTAACATATAGATGTAAAATTTACATACTATTTATACTGAAATTAAATTTCTTTTGTACAAAACGTTAAGCGTTTTGCTAAAATACCAGATTATTTTACAAAATATTATGTAATATTGTATAATTACAATATCTTATACATAAAAATCTTTCTGTAAGTGTTCATATCCTAATAATGAATAGCATTCATTTTCACTATTAGATAATGCAATCATATACTCGTTGATTCGCAGTGACGAGTTTTAGAAATAGATACAAAATATATTGTGTCTGTTTAAACAAATATAAATACTCATAAAAGTAGTATCTAAAATTATCTACTAGTCGATAATGGCCGCGCCTACGCTCGGGCCAAAAACAAACAATAAATTTTAAATTTTAAAAATATATAACATATTAGACTTTATTATTAATCAATGTTAAATAATTTAAATTAATAACCAATTATTACTTAATTATTTATTTGAATTAGATTTTTAATTAATATCATTTAATTTTAATAACACAAGTAATTTTAATGTCAGTCGCCGACAGTTCGCTCTTCACCGACATCCATTATGTCGGCAAAACATGCGCAACAGGTTGGTAAGAGACAAGCGTCCTGATTGTGGCGTCCTTAAGATGCTATCACTTTAAATTTAAACCTAATATTTTTGTTTTGAACATTGTGTATATAAAAAAATATAATTTTATTACCCTTTTACATTAATAAAAATCAAGCTATGCAGTAATAACTAGGCACTGTTTATGTTGACGTCTATATATCAAATGGGAAAAACTTTATTGAATGTTACGCCCTCCAATCAATAATGGCCACTCGCAGCTCGGATGGAATTTAAGTAATTAATATAATTTTAAAAGAGCGTCCTACTAGAAAAATTTAATATTATAATATTTCGAAAAATGAAAACATATTTTTTGAAATGAAAACATATGTTACTTATTATAAATTAATATTCATCATATCATAGCAACCGTAAACCGTCTACTGAAGAACATAGGTCTCCCCCATATGGGAGGGGGTGGATATGCTAGTAGTTGCCACGGCAGGCTAGTTGGTTGTTGTTGGCAATCGCAGTTAGGCTTTGATGATGTTTTAAGAGGGACGCTGTTGTCCATTCCTCGACTATTAAATTCGCCTTTTACAACATCCACGGGAAATCTGTTATAAAAACATTCAGTTTCACTGATAAATTATTATTATTTAACCTGCGTACCTACATCTTGATGTACCGTTGGATATCAAAACATGATAAAAATAAAACGGTCAGCCATTTGTTGACGTTTTTTTTTTACAAATCAAAGCGCACCGTTTTTCATTATCAATATACACACTAATAAATCCCGAAAATGGATTATTATATAACTAACTTTTACCTGCAACTTCGTCCGCGCGAGTGGAATATGACCGGAATATAAAGTAAGCTATCTCCTTCTCCATCCACTATCCAATCTACGTGTATTCCAAATTACATAGTGAATGGGTAAGGAGTTAAGACGCCAGGAGGTAACAAACAAACTCAATATCACGCTTATAATATAGTATTATTAAGATTATTTATTAATTTATTGACCACATTACAAAAAAATGTCTGGTTCAAAAGGCGGACTTAATACTATATAGCATTCGCTCCCAGACAACCTGTAGCAAAACAGAAATTTAATTATGTGATAAAAAAAAATTAAAATTGTTGCTAATAAATATTTACACGTACGTACAAATCACAATACATACAATGGAGAACTACTGCACATCATGATTATATAAATATACATACATGAATACATTAAACAAATGTTACATAAATATACAAATATATATCATAAAAATATACATACATACTTATAGATTATATACGATAACATATTATCACTCAGGCAAAAATAAAAATGAGAACTGTTTTGGTGAAGCGTTTGTAGAGAGACACTAAATAATTAGTTTATAACTAGTTATTTTGCTGTAGTATGGCCTACAGGTGTTTACTGTACACATTATATTAACTGCAAAAATGTTTATATCTAATTAGAGAAAAAATAACTTTATTTTCAAATATAATCTCCATATGTTACAAGTATCTGTCTCCAGTTTGAAGTCACTCAAATCCGCTGGGATAAACTTTTAGTTCGAATAAACAATTCTTTTATAAACTATATACGTGAGAATGTCAGAAAATCCTTCATTGTAAACCTATACACAAAGAAAGGATTTTCCGAAAATTCACGCGAAGAAGAAGAAGACGTCAAGATATTTGATTTTGTTTTAGAAAAAAGTTATAAAAATAATTATTAATTTATTGAATTAAACAGCGAAAACATACATTCTTATTTCAGAATTCAATTCATTTTCTATTTTATTGTTAGTAATATGTAACACATTTTTAATTTAAAAAAGAAAAATTGATTAAATTATATAATCGAATATATTTTAACTTGTTTCTGTTAATTAAAAAATAATAAAATAAAACATACATACATATATAAAATAAAACATAGCTGATGCACCTCGCGCCATATGCGCCGTCATCAGAGCTTTATTGACGTCCGCCATTTATAACCTAGTACCTTTCCATTAAATACTAAGACCTGCGCATATCCCAGTCCGCTGCATCGATCATTCGGCACCTGAAGGCTGTATATGTGAAACAGTTATAAAAACAAAGCCTATTAGTATTATATCTGTTTATGTTCGCAAAGAATATCAAATGTATTAAGTGAAACTGAAATCTTTTGCCATACCATATAAGTTTATCTCAATAAAATTGGGCAGTTCTCTCAAATAAATATAAATTGGCAAACGACAAAAATTTATAACTCTCTCATATTGACAGTACCCACCGTGTTAATATGAGAGGGTAAGCACTTTCGTCGTTTTAATGTTTGTTTTTTCAATAAATTTTTGGCGTCCCTTTTAATGATGTATGGTTTCTACTTATAAAATTCTTCCTTATTTATGTTTGTTTGTTTATTTGTTGTTTTTTAATGAGTAAAAATGGCATGGTAACCCCGCCTGCGCTATCGGTAAACACTGGCGGGGTAGCAGTGAGAAGTTATCACCTGTCACTGGTACCCCGCCATCTTTACCTATCGGTAAGGATGAAAGGCAGGTCAGTTAGCCCATCGTGACGAATTCAACGATAAATTAGTCATGATAGTTACCAGGAGAAACCGCGTGGAGGTCGACCTGATAGAGTATATTGATAGCAATGAGGACTAACCTCAATCAATCCCAATCAATAACAATCTCTTCCACCCATTTATTTATTACCTTATATCGCCTTAACGGCTTAACCAATCAATAAGTAATTTTATATACACGTATTGTATGGAATAGAGAAGGATATAGGCTACTTTTTATCCCGGACCGTAAACATTCCGGTCAAGTGGACAAAGTCGCGGGTAAAAGCTAGGACTGTATACAAAAAAGCACTATTCAAAGCTGCTGTTGTATTAATAAATACTATTTTTTAAAAAGATTTATTCATTATTTTATTATTAGTTTATTTCCTACTATAAATTAAATATAAAATAAAATTTTGTGTGTTAATTCAAAGTAACATTCGTACGTACAAAGCCGCGAAAAACTACAAATATTTTATTAAATTAATTAACATTCCTTTAAGAAAGTGAAATTGTTTATTTTCCTAAAAAGAAACGAAACTATACGACCTGTGTTCCTTTGAAAAACATGTTTAAATTCGTTAATAGTAAAAAAAAAAATCTAATTATTCCGATTTCTGTCATTATATTTAAGCGAGTATCTAGCTGTGAATCACTCGCATTATAAACACAATCGATACACGAAGCACGACCGCTGTTAGATCCGATTGCAATCGGCAAGTAGGTACATATGGAATGATATCAATAACTAATTTATACCCTATGTTCACTCTATCACGTACAGTCAGCTTCGAAAAATCAAGCGCCTTGACAGAAAATAATGTTGGAGGCAAAACTTCGATTTTTAATTTTATCAAAATTATAAAAGTGTCATTAAAATATTATGAAGTGTCATTATAATTTAATATGATCAAATTGTTTAAAAATATGTTATTCGGATTAAATCTCGTCATTTACATGAAACAATTAGTTTTTACTTTAAACAAAACAGGAGGATTTATTATTTTTATTTTAAAACAAGTAAAAGGTAATGATGGATAATTAGACATTTTATATATACGCTGGTTTTTGTTCTTGACTTCGTCTGCGTGTCCGGGACATGTTTATTGACCAGGATAAAAAATAGACTACAGTCTTCTCCATCTCATATAGTACATGTATAGGTACCAAACGTCGTAGTGACTGATTATAATAGCATTGCTGCATTGCCCATAGAGATAATTTTCGAAAAAAAAAAAACAATAATCGACGTACGGATGTCAAAAAATTTACCAACAAAATTTTTTGACTATGGTATTTCATAGGACAAAGTAACTAAAGAAAATTTATTTGTCTCTTTTATATGTACGTTTGTTCCGACATCACGCACATTTTGCTACGTTAAATTGCTTGAAACTTTGACACTTATATTCCTAAAGATTTAACTCAAAGGTGGTGTAGGTTTTATCTTAATACACCTTCTAGAAATAATCTATTTTATTGGTCTTCCTAATTCAAAAATCTATGCTACTCGTAGTATGAAATAGTACATCTTACAACTCTGGTATAACAGCTTTTTAACATCTCAGCTTCCTAGATAAGTGGAGCGGTAACCGTAACAATTCTATCGATAGATTCATTTGTTTTTATTTTTACTCCACGCAACTACCT